GGGGGGGGGGGAATGAATGCTGTGTTTTGGAGACTGCAGGAGGCTCTTGAAGACGGCATCAAAGAAGGTGGACCGGGACAGCCTTTGCCCGTCCCCTCCCAAGTAAGATCCTTCATTGACATGCTCTTCCGTCATTTCGTTCTGATCTGAGGCCAAGCTGGTTGGGCGGCCTCCACCAGGTCGCGCTTCCCGTCCTTAGCTGCTTAGCCCTCGAGTCGTAGCATTCCAACTCAGCCTGGATGAAGTTTCCGGGAACTGCTGGAGCATCGAGACGCAGCCGTCCCTACAAGAGCACACCCTTAAGATGACAGCAAGCTTCGCCCAACCCCACCTGCATCTGCCTGGATCCTGGAACCACCATGCTTGTTTTTCTTATGCTCGTTTACTGCAGATAGCGTCTCGCATCGCAATAACACGACAATAATAGCCTGTTGAATGGAGCGGGACCGTGTGCGTTCAGAAATGGCTTGCTTTGACTTCTCGGCAGGCAAGGACATGCGAGTTGGCATCCGAGCATCGGTTCGCCGTTCCAACTCCGGCACGAGGAGCCGCGCAGGCACAGGGACAGCCTTTGCGGTCCACGCGTGCGCTGCGTGCGCTTGAGCATGGCCCTTCAACTTGCGATGAGAGGAGTTTTGGTAGAAAGCTTTCCTGACGGCAGGCCCCGGTCCCTACCCTGCAAGGGCATCGAGCCCTACTCTCGGTTTCTTCAGCACGAGACCGTGGAGAGACCGCCAGCTTCCAAGGTCCTGGAGCTGTGAAGGGTTATCCCGGGAAGCGATAAGTTGCAAGCTCGCGTGGCATCGCAGCAGTGCAGCAGTAAGCACCTGCCACGATCAGCACAGTTGTCGTACAATGGACCTGATGTCGCGCCCTGTTTCGAGTTGTTTCGAATTCATTGCAAGAGCTGTGTCAAATACTGACAAGCAGCATGTGTACATAGCATAGCTTGGTCTGGCCTGTCGGCCCCTCAATAATGGTTCAACCCGGAACTGGGTGGAATTAATTCGCTGCTCAGTTCAGTTGCCTGTGCCACCCTGCAGGTTCCAACGAGACAAAGTAAGAGAGAGCATGCAGCTGAGCAGAACCGGAAGCAACCTGAGCAATTCAGGACGAAATCAAGATTGGCGGGAGAGATCGCGAGCTGCGTCATGCTGAGAAGGTCTACGAGAAGGCCTCATTGGCGGTAAGCTTGCATAGTTTTGATGCTGCCTAACAGCGGACGTGCGAGGAGCGGCAACTCCGAGATCCGTTTAACCAGGACAATGCAGTGCGGGGCTTCGCTGCTGTTGTTATGACCCGGGCTTCGTGACTCATTATTCTGTGGCGACTGCCAGTTTAGCGTTGGACTGCAATGTAGACCTGGTCGCCGCCACAATTTCTTCACGAGGCTCGTGGATGGTATCAGCGCACCACGACAGCCACAGGTGCACTCGTCGTTGGTTGCAGTGCTTTATGCTATTTTATGCTTGAAAGATAAAGCCCTGCAGGCAAGACCATCACTGCAGGTGGTGGTGGGCCTCGTGTACAGGCCTGACTTGCCTCGGCGCTGAACCTCGAGATGCTGCCCGCCTGGGAAGGCTGGGTACGGACGCAGGACGAACCCGAATGCCAACAACTTTCGCGGCAGCTCGGCTCGCAACGGGCCTGTGAGGATTTCTTGTATGCCGAAGATCCTGCAGTGCCAGGCTTCAAGTCGAAAAAGAGGTAGCTCGACAACGAGCCCTTGCAGCGGTGCACATCAGCGCTGCAGTAAGAGGCATTGTACAAAGGACAAGAAGCTGCACGGACAAAAGCCTTGAAGCAGAGGCATGGGAAGAGGGGTTTTCAGGTGTCAAATGCCAAACTAGGTTGTGGATTTAGTGTGGCCAAGCCCAGGCATTGTCCAGCAGCGAGCCTGCTCCGAAAGAGCAGATGTACAGGTTGAAGCTTCGGTAGCCGGTCTGCTGGAGAAGGAAAGGCGGCTTGCGTGCTGCTCAGCGCATCAAGCAACCCAGTGCTTTCGCAGCACGCCACGAGATGCTATCGGCGAGCACCACACCTGCAGATCAAGCAGCATGCTTGCCGGGCTCAATTCAGATTTGGTTTGCCTCTTGAGACACTCGCTTCCGTGAGCCCGCCATCTTCACAGGCACCCTGATGTGTGTGTGTGTGTGACCTTTGAAAGCTGTTGTGAGTCACCGAAGCATGTATCTGTCAGGTTGCACGCAGAGTTCATCCGGCCTTGCAGGCCCAGCCCAAGTATGACTGCCGGTGCAGGTTATAGTCAGATCCCACCTTAGCGCCGGTTGAAAGTAGCATCGCTTGTGTACACTAGCAGCATCGGCATCGACAAAGTCTCCTTCCCCTTCGGAACTTGACTCGACCCAGCACAGTAAGCCGCAGCTTGCAACCGTCAGCCAACGAAACTGGGTCGTACGACTCCGAGCTTTCATGCTGTTCCCTTGGGTCTTGGGCTCTGGTAAGCTTTTAGGGCTGTTGAAGTTGCACTTCGGATGCTCGCATGGTCGCAAGAACTGACGCCCGCAAGACGCGGTCTCGGCTCTGAGGGGATTCGTGCGAACTCCACAGCTGAAGTTTCTCAATAGCAACACAAGGTGCAATGTCCACTGGTCCACTGATTCAGACCGCTCTGAAGGTGATCGCGAGATAATGATCTTCCGGGAATGCTTTGAACGGTGGTGACTCCGAGGATTGCTCCGAAAGTGATGGCGAGATCGTGGACTCCGAGACACGCTTCTGAAAGGCTTGTGAAGCAGGGTGTCTTGCGATGGCGAAGTGCTTGGCGGTTCCACACGGGCCTGCGTTGAAATCGCGTGCGGATGCTATGCTGGCAATATCTTTGGGCCATGGCCACTCTGAGGTGGCAAAGTTTATCATCGACCACTTCAGAAGTTCCTGATTACACTGATTACACGAAAGTCAGCATTGTTCATGGGCGACCGTTGGAGTTACCCCTCCATTCAGCAGAAGTGTGCAAGTTGCTTCTGTCATATCCGAGCATCGAAGTGCGAATTCGGAAGTCACTCCGCTCCAGTATGCATGCCACTACCGCTCAAGCGATTGATGCAACAGCTTCTCTACCACCCGCGATCGACACTTCAGGCATTTGGCAAGGCCTGTTTGTGCAGTTTGCTCCATATCCCGACGCTGTTGAGGTGACCAAGCTTCTGCTGGGCCGTAGTTGGGACTAAACCAGCGTGGGCAATCCGGTTACGCATGTTTGTTCGACCATCCTGCAACTGTGGACCTAAGTCTCCGGAAGCTGCTGCTCGCAGTGCCGGAGCTAAGTATTATGCAGGAAGCTTTGCCCGAGATCATCCACGTCCGTGATATGACTGATGTGCATGATCTTGGGCAAGGCTTCCTGCATCGGATTCTGTGGCGACCACCACCGCCATGCACAAACCCTCCAGATTTGTTGCGCTCCGTTCTTGCTCGTGAAGAAGCAGATCTTCACTGCAAAGAGAAAGAGGGACGAAATGCTATTGATGTGGTACTGCATAGAATCGAGTATGAGCCCCACCAGTCTGGTACGCAGTTCCAACAGATGTGCCCAAGATTTCCTTCGCGCTGTGCTGGCAGGCAGTGATCAGGATTGACGGCTCAATGTCCCCAAAAGCGCATGCTGCTAGGTTTCGCACTCGTGCCGAGGTACGAGGTACGGCGGTGTATGCTGGCGCTAAACTTCCATCGCTTGAAACATCGAAGGTGTTTCTGCTAAACAAACATCGGAGGTGTTTGCTAGGGAACATCGCAGGTGTTTCCGCTGCATCGAGGCATTCGAGCTATTGGGGTTCACATGGCCGAAACCTACATGCTATGTCCGTGGCCATTGTGCTAAAGTGCTAGCTATTGTTCGACTCAATTGAAGAAGGCTTCTTGCAGCATACAGCAGCAAGAGTGGCCGTGCGACTTCGTACTGTCAGTCCACGAGCCTGCGTCGTTTGCCCAGGATTAGCAAAAGGGTTCGTGGCCCAACGCCTGCATCTGTCAGCACATATCAACGCAGAACTCGCAGCTGTGCCAGCATGCCCGCATATATCCGCAGGTATCTTGCGTGCTCTGGCAGCTGCCCGACCGAGGCAGGGAGCCGGGCCGCTTCACCAGTGCTGTTGCAGCCACTCTCGGCTCGATTGTACGCCTCAGCGTCACCCTGGGCCAACCTGAATCCTGGGTGGAGGCATAGCCTTTGGCGGAGGTCGTGAGGTTCACTCAGATCGACGAGCGGGAGGGACAAAGAAATTTCCCCTTCTGCTCCGTGGCTGTGCTCTGTAGCCATGACGATCTTGTCAGAGCCCGGATGCAGTTCTGGAGGAACCAGCCACCCCGGTCTCAGCATTGGCGGAGAAAGTCTCACTCGCTGAGCCAGTTGGGCTCTCTAGTGACGCATTTCTGTTTCCTTATGCACGCTCAAGCTTCAGTTCAACTAGCGGACTAGCGGTGGGGGAATCTGGTTGACAGCCATGCGCAAGCGACTCTTTCAGAATGCGGAACGGTGCATTGCTGTGGAACGATCAGCAGGTTTCTGCTAATTGTGTGCTTGTCTTAGGAAAAGCTCATGACGATCGATGATTTCTTGACATATGTTGAACCTGATTCGCGAGGCTCTGCATGGCAGTGGTCCCGGCGATGTGGCGCAGTGCGTCGTGTGAGGTGGTCTTTCTTCCCTTGCCCTCGCAATTCAATCATGTTCCCTTTGCACAGGATTTTGCGCTGATGAACACCGCACCTCCAGACGATGTCGAGCGCTCGCGCATGGTTAAGGCCGGGGTTCGAAAGCTGACAACTGCACTTCGTCTGGAATCGCAAAAGTTGACTGGCTGTGCCATGATGCTGTGCCAGGTCATCCAGGGTACGTGGGTTAACGTGGACTGCCCGGCTGAGAGGCGATGCGACAAGCATGGCGACAGCGGTGAAAATCGGTTGAGGGGAGAGGCGGGTAGACGGAGCAGGTACACCGTTGTTGGACAACACGTTACGCGCCTGAACCTCAAACCATCCAGCAGCAAAAGGTGCTTGTTACTGATTGTTATTGCCTGGGTCAGTGTACTCAGGCAGCGACGTTCAAGGCTGTCGCCACTTCACCCTGTTCTGGGATCCAAGAAGGACGGGGAGCTAAGGTCACCATTTCAAGAAGTGCAGATTGCTCTGCTCGGTGCAGCTAGGAGCCAGCTGCAATGGGGCACCCAGGGCAGGCGGATGAATGGGCGATAGGTGGAAGAGGTGGAGTCAGGTGGAGGCGTGTGGATGTCGTCTGCCAGGCTCTACCTTGCTTGCCTTGGTGATGGTCTTGTGGCCTGGGTGCCAAGCAGGCGCTCGGACGCAGAGACCCACGGCGGAGGGTCGTGACATGTCGTGACTCGCAGGTACAGCTCCCGCGCCTGGCGATGGCAGCGCGCAGCAATGTTTTGGCCTAAGTCCGACGACGGACCAGCAGCACGGACCTCACTCGCGCGCTTGCGAACGTTGCGAATGCGTTTCAGACCGCCGCAGCTGCCGCCACTCTGGGCACCGCTGCCATGTCAGCAAGGACTGTGGCCCGTTCTTCAGGCTGTGGGAAAGGGCAAAAGATGCGTCGCCTCGTGCGAGGACTTTCACCTCATGTGATGCGGGTGCCGGTGGACCTCTGAGATGGCGACAGGATGCGATGGGGCACTCGTAAAGCCTGCGTCAGACCGAATCTCCGGGTGGCAGCTACGAGTTCACGAGGGTTCGCGATAGTTCACCTATCCGTCGCTTTGAGGCCGACCATGGCTTTGGTTACGGTCCTTGGCGAAGGCTTCATCTGCGAGCTACGGAAGAAACTCGCTTGGCGTTGTTGGCATGGCGAGGCCCTACGGCGCGGCTCTTCGAAGTTGGGGGCCAGGCTACGGAGGCGACACAGCGAGACGGCGACACGAGAACGGTCACCCACAGTTTCAGCAGTGCCAGGTCGTCCAACGGTTCGGCTCCCGGCGACGTGAAGACTTCTTTCGAGTATTTCGGATGCCCCTCGGCTGCGTGCCGCGATGACCCTGCAAGCTCCGAGGACTTCCCTCGCCGGAGCTGGAATCATGGCTTCCACCTTGGGTGTTTCAGAACATTAATGTCTGGAATTCGCACAAGATGCCGAGAGACAGGCACGTACACCTACCAGGGTCTGCAGACTGCAACTACTGAGGCTATGGCCGCAGCTTCCATGGTAATCGCAACATACAAGGCCGGACTTGAGAATCATCTATGGTGCATGACCTTCTGTGACTACTGTATGCGCAGAATCTTGCACCGCTTGTCTTATCCGTAGAGTGGCCCTGCCCTGTATCCCTGTTTAACATCGGCTGGGAGAGCTTGTAGGCCACCAATGCCCCAAATCTTGCACCACTTCACCTATCGCAGTTGCCAGCCTTATCAAAGAGGGGCTGTTGAGGTCCACTCTGCAGAGTGCTAGAAGCATGCATGCACAGGGGATGCTAAGTTGAAAGCATGGCCACCACGGGATTGTGCAGGCATGACCAGGGATTCCCGCCTGGCCTGCGGGCTTTCAAGTACCGAGGCCGGTGCTCTAGCCGGCTGGGAAAATTCGCAAAGGAATCCTGCAAAGGTCTTCGATCTCCTCTTTCGGGACATCACTCCGGATGACTATGAGACCCTGCTGCGCCTCGATGAGTCGGTCGATCGATCAAGGCACGCTGCAAAACCCTCCCTGCATCAACGTCTAGCTCTCTGTAGTGTTTCCGCGCTCGCTCACTCTCTCTCTCTCTGTCTCTGTGTCCGAGCATGTTCGATGGTTTGTGGATATTCATATTATGTTAAATTACATATACATATACATACATGCATGCATACATACATATATATATATATGCTCACGCCCCCCCCCCACCCCATGATCCACACGAAGCTGCTTTTTCT